CATTTTGATTGCTCAGTTACTATCTCTTAGTTGCACACCAANGGTTCATACCTTTTTGTATAAACTTAGAATAAAGACTCTTAAAAAGCTAAACAAACTTCTAGCCGCTTATGGTACTTATGAGACAGTAGTCAGTCTAATTCAAAGTATTACTTTATCTCCTTAGTTAGTAGGAGCTTGTTAAATAGCTAGTAAAATAGTTTAGTCGATCACAAAGACAAGTTTATGACAAGTAGACATTGAAGGAATATTATAAATTCAAAAGAAGTATAGTATTATATTTGCTGCCGTAAGTATTTAAGCAATTATAATATCAGCTACTCTATTTTGACTACATTTGTGATTATGTTGAATTCTGAGGATTAGCACAAAGAGAACGGATAAATAAACTACTACAATAACTTACATGGATGATAGCTTCGTTAGATTAGAAAAGGCTCTAGGCTGAATTACTTCAATTTTGTTATTATAAAGAATCCTAAGTCAAAAAGATCACTAAGCTTTATTTTCTGTCATATTAAGCGATTAATATATAGAATGTGTACAAGAATTGCTGCGATAATATCTTTATGCATTGGTAAGTTTAAGTAGCTATAATATTACAGAGTTTCCAATTTCCAAAGTCCATAAAATGAATAAGTTCGAATAATGTGCAAATCATTTCCATGTAGCTGGCTAAAATGAGATAAAATGAGATAGATATTAAATTAAAACTTTTATTGCATGTACTTAAACCGCGTAATAGAGTACTACTAAAATACGTTATTGACAATCATTACTATATATGTATGCAATCAAGAATATTGCAATTTACTTACATAGTTATGAGACTGGCTAGATTAGAAAACATAAAGTCTTCCAAATGAGCCAGATTGTTAACACTTAGTCTCCTAGAAATGATCATATTTCTCATCGTAAGAAATTTTAAAGGACAAAAACGGATTCATAGGGATTATGTGCGCAACTACTTAATAATTTAATAATAACTTACAAATCTCGCAAATTAGTGAGTTTGGAAAATGCTAATCTGCTAAAGTTCTCAATTGCATTGATAGATAGGTCTCTAAAGATAGAATAACAATGTTTCAGTCCAATACGCATCTATGTAATATTCGAAAGATAGCTAAAAGAAAATTATACTAGGGTAAAACTATTGACTTGCCAGTATAAAAATTAACCTTAAATTTAATAAATTTTAATTATTATAGACTATACAATAATTATATTTGAGGCTACATATTGCTAGTAAGAGTTGCTATGATAATAACTATGCTAATATAAATTATATGATATCCTGTAACTGGTTTTTCTAATTTTGTGATTGAGATTATGATTGAGATTGTGATTGATAGAAAGCAGCCAGTGCTCTTGTACACACTGGCTAAAATAGATTTGATATTCTATACTCAACGATTTTGTCAACAGCTCTATATGATCTAATTATTTAAAATTAGTCATTAAATGTCGTTATCTTAATCTATTGCTACAATTACTCTGTAGTTCAGTATAAATTTATTAAAGTTTTATCTAGAGGTTATTCGTGGATCAATTGTGACTGCTACAGATAATTATATTAATTCATATGTTCTATAAGGAAATCAGTCCTTAAATTTATTATCAAAAATAATTTTACCTAAACTGGTTTACACTGAATATAGTATAAACGACTTAAGTTTTGAATTTTACCGGTCGAATAAAGGTCGAATAAATATTTTAGAGTAATCTTGCAAAGTAGTCACTGATATCTAAAGATTAATTTTCTATTATAAAAGACGGAATTATACCCTGGATTACGTCCATAATAGCGACTGATATTTTATCTAGGTTTATTCCAGAAACGAGAAAATAAATCGTGCACGTATTGTTAGTTATCATAGTAATTACTTTCAAATACATAGCTGATACCACCTATGCATAAAGCAGAAAGATTACAACGCAATCTACTCTTATATTAAAAGTGTTGAAATATCTTGTCTTACATAATCTTTATTTTAGTTGTGCCTTCCCAAGACTTGTGGCTTATTTTAGTAATCAAATTTGTGCCTGCATAGCTATTATTTTATTTGTATAAATCAAAAAAGTATTCATTAACTCAATATTGGAATATTTAAATATCTAAATAGATTGCTAAATTAAGCATTTATAAAGATGCTAGAACACTATTAGTTAAGTTGATGGAGGTCGTAACGTAATTACTGGTACGCGTAATCATTTTGATGAACTCTGAAATACTTTACAAATTAATCAATTCAGGCATATTCTTTAGTATTTCAGCCGGTATATCCGTAATTCTGTTCCGTTCTATATATCTAACAATTCAAATTCCTTAGAAATTTCTGACGCAAATATTACAGTCTAACAAAAAACCTGAATCTATTAATATCAGGAGATAGCATTGATCGCTTTTTAGTGACTTACAAGGTTCTCAGTTTAATTAAGCCCCTAAAGCTTATATTTTGCAAGTTCTGTATCCCGTTATTTGTCAATCGACTAGTAATAATTATATTGCATTGCATGAAAAATTATAAGATTAATTAGTCATAAAAATGATAAATTCCTTTCTGCACTTCTTATCTTTAAAGTAATTTCTAAATTCAATCATAATTTCATTTCTATTACATATTCCATATATTATACGAAGTAATCATTCTAACAAGTAATACATAAAAATCAACATTTTAGGGCTACTACAGACTTTCTATGAAAGGTAAACTGGTGAGGTGAGATAATTCAAATTCTAGAGTAACTTTTCGTTGTATAAACCGAAGAGCAGAGACTAAACATCGGCATTACTTTCATTCAGATTATTGAATGTTACTTACTGCAATTTTTATAAATCTACTACAGGTTTAAAACAGTATTTAAAAGTGCAATAGTGAAGGTTCAAAGCATCGTTTTCGATAAATTATGAGTGTGTTTATGAACTTTCCTTAAGCATCCTGAAAATCGGTAAGAAATTCGTAACTAAAATTAATTACTTCTGATTGATGCTATAGAACAGAAACTTGAAAAGTGAAAATAAATTTAAGTTCAGTAAAATAGGGTAACCTCTATATTATCGAATAGTAACGAGAAAGCAGATATTAACAATACGTTTGGTTTATAAAACGTTCTGAAATTATCCTAGTGATTCAAGGAGCACTTAATCAACGATTAATTAGAAAGGAGTAATATATTGTTATTAGAAATAGGGTTAGGGTAAGGATTAGTAGGTAATCTAGCCATTTTAGCTGATTTTGATTATCAATGTACTGCAACTTACAGCTGGATTAAATTACGAAATGGTGCAAAAACTCCATCCGCTATTCGGGATATTTTATTTCCATTCAAATACCTATAATACCAGCATACGTATGTCCATAAAACATTGTTCAGACATTACCTTTTAGATTTTAATGCTGATTTTCATACAATTTATAAGATTAAATTCATCCTTTAGTGTGACCAGATATCTATTATCGTCTCTATTTAGTATTTCCTTAAACAGTTATGATCAATCTCACATTCGGAATGCAGTACCAATCTGCATCATCTACTTAAATATTGTTAATGCTACATTATAATTCGCAGCTAATGATTATGATATGGCTCTCAACGAAACGTTGTAGTAGGGGTTAACCAAATTACAATAGAAATTTAAGTAAGATTAAGAATGATATACTTTCTCTTACTTCTGGTAGTCAATACTCATCTGCCTTAAAATTCCCATCGTTTTATTAACATCAAGTATGTTATGCAAGTGTTATACATACACAAGCATAATTTGTAAATAAATGATTAAAGATGGATATTTGTCACAAATTAGCTTTGCGGCAAGCCTTACGAAAAACGAATCTCTAAATTTCGAATCTTTTCGTGATTCAGCGTCCCTTAAATACTAACAACGACTTAGATGCCTTTGCTTTTACATCACAAAACTAGAGAACTGATTTTGTTCAATCATCCGCCGGGCTTAAATACCTTTCGGTCGTTGCTAACATTGATGAAACATCTTGTACCAATAATTATTATTATCGAAAATGACATGTACTAACTGATTTTACCTAATCGGATTACAGAGTCTTTCAATACATCTACAATCTACTTATTGTCAAAATTTCAATTACAAGGGCTTGATCTGTATTCTATTACTAGATAAGAATTTTATTTGCAGTAATACATAATTTAATGTGCCACATTATAGCTTCAGTAATTCTCACTGCAAGTAACTAATTGTAATCACCATATATAAATGTACATGTACTTAATTTAGTCATTCAATTCTTCTCGGTAGTTTGTACCGTGACAATAGTCCTTGGTATTACTGGGCAAATAAGATTTTGCGTAATAAAGTGAATTCTATAAGAAATACTAGTTTTCGGTTTGATATTTGAAAACACTTTATCGCAGTTACATTAAGAAGTATGTAGCCTAAGAAATAAGAATTACTCTAGAGTAATGATACTATTGTAAGCTTGTAATGCTGCGATGAAATATGAGATCCTGAGCGAAGATGATTAAACTCAATGGAAACTTATCGAGACACAGTAATTTCATTTATTATTGATAATACCTGAAGTACTATATAATAAAGTAAATCATAGATTTCTATTTAGTATCCAGTCCGTACCGTATAAAATGTATTGCTAATTAGCGTGAGCACTCGCTCTTCGAAATTTTCAAACATATAGTACGAATTAAAGTAGTTGAACTAAAATTACTTATTAAAGTAAACATTGATAATTGGAAGCTTTCAGAGCTACAACTTGCAGCTATTTATTCTAGGAAATGATTTAAATATGACTTACAATTGTTGCAAATTTGTTAATCCTTGGAATACTCCTGGAGAAGTCAGAGCAAGCAGCAGGTTGCTATCAAAGCTTCTGCTCCAATTATCATCGCACGATAATTTAAATAGTTATGCCGAGAATTTACATAAGGTGCAAAATGAAATAAGTTTTCAAATTTATATTGGTAGCAGTATTTTTTAGCAGTGTGTCTTATAGTCAATTCATTACACCTTACAATTTATAGAGAAATCTAGAATTGGCAAAAACTTTATCTGTAATTCTTTCTATTTGATTTCTGTCTAGGTATCTATAATTAATAAAACCAATCCTATTACTTAGTAAAATCTTTATCATAGCATTGCTTTTTTACGTAATTACGAAATTATCTACCGTATATTTAGTTAACTAGAAGGCTAAAAGCACAACAGCAGTCTTCATGTATAACTCGCAGAATGTACTGTACGAAATTGCGAGCAAATAATTAATTAAATTGCTACTGATTACTGCAGTATCTCATATTCCTTACTTTTTACCCATGGTAACAGATTAAACTTACAGGTACTTTAAGTTATATAATCCTTGCAGTATTTTATGGGAGTTTAAGGCTTTCAATAAATTGTCCTTCAAATCACTGAGTAATTCATTAACAATAAAGAATATTACAATATTATTTAGGTTGTCTACCTCAGGAAAAAAAATTTGCTATATAAAATTGTTCCTAATCTATCTTGGCATATACAATGACGCAAGAGCTTTACTCTGCATATATCTAATAGCTATTTAAATGTATCAAACAATGTGATTACTCACAGTGTCATTAACCAGTAAAGATCTGCGAATGCTCCGTCTACTATTTTTTCTATCTTATTGTTTCCTAAATATCTAAATAAATTTATTTATTAATTATTTTATAGGTAAAATGAGACAAAAATAGTTATTGTGTAATTGATTATTTATAAGTGAAATGCGATAATAAGCCATTTTACAAAATGATCGATTATCTGTACGGTAAACAACATAACTCTTAAAAAAATTGTTTTAGCGATATATAATTATAAAAATTACAGAATTAATATTTTTTTAATTTATTTCCTGTAATGGATACCAGTAGTTTGTAATGTGCCATTCACATAGGTATGTAATTACAGTATACTTATACGTAGCTTACAGGTGACGTAATCTTCTAATCCCTTCAAATATTCCAGGAGAATTCAAACCTCGCAAAAGATTTCCTTGCAATGACCTATATCATGTATTTATGAGAACATTGCAGGCAAATGTGGTATAAACTCATATAAGATAGGAGATAAGTCTGGTTTAGAAATTATAACCGTTGCAATATTATTGCACGAAGAAAGATTGCTTAATAAATTTAAAATAGAAAATGCCGGAAATCAATCATATAAGAAGACATCTTACAGGTGAGTCAATTTATACAGGCCAGCGAATGTTCTTTTTTCGATACTTACAATTTTATTTTGGTATATGTACCTAAATTCATAACGACAACCTCTCAATTCTTAATCAATTTTCTTTTACGTAAGATATCGATTTCATTCATTTATGTTCACATCGTCTGAAAATGTGTTTAGGATTTTCTTCTACAATAAATAGCTGTGAGATGAACTCTTCTATATTTCATCATCTCAAACATCATGTTAGCAATTCCAATAATTGAGCTAATTCAGTAGCAATGTATAATTAATATCCTACAGTAATTTTAAGTAAGCTTTCACTATGTGACTTAGATTATTCTATTACGTTAAACCTCCAATCGTAGAATATCTATTTTGCGGTTAATCTATAAAATGTGCCGTATTGCAGCTACAATATTTTCCAGTTTATCTTTTGCTAATGAAAACTATTCTAATGAGAGCAGGAGAAGTAAATTTTTCTCTGATAAGCGTGCTACGTATTGATAAACGAAACTTTTTGGCTAAATGCAGTATTGACCTAATTGTGTTATCTTAGAGATCTGCCCACTTTTTATAATCAAATTTCGAGTTGGTGGATAATAAACTTAATGGATTAAAACCAATTCATTACAGCAATACGCATACATTAATGAAAAGTTATTTCTTAGCAGTCTAACTGAATAGACATTATTGTGCTCCTTAATAATTTTTAACGTCTGTTAGTACATTTCAATATTCAAAATTTCATTTAGCTTACAGGTGAATCAATCTTTGTAGCCCTTTAAATATTCCAGGATGAATAGTGTTCAATAAATTCCCATTTAGGTCTCTACAATGGATAATAATAAAAGACTATGAAAAGCATACGATGGATCTAAGGTTGATTTTATATAATGTAAGTACCGTTACGTTTTAGAAATGGCTGAAATTAAATTCTTAGATAGGAAAATTGCTTCCAATTTTAATTCGCAAATAATTAGATAGTGGTTGCATCACAAAATTACTTACAGCCTTATCAAATTATTTAATTGTGCAAAGGGCTCGTTTGCGATCTTTTCAATCCTGTTATTATAGATATACCTAATAACACAAATAAATTCCTAAAATAAGTTTTAAGGTGCTTTCTTGTATGTATTGTATGGATTCTAAGTCTAATTACTTATTATTTTATAATTGTTGACGCTTGGCTAAGAATTGATAGATAATTGTGCTTTAAATTCAGTATTTTACGTTTAGCTAAGTGTTGTCGATCTACAGTATGTTAATAGCTAATTTTTTAAGTTTAATTAAAAAACTTCAATGTCTTTAATAAGCTTGAATATACTCGCCATTTTGCAGAGTTATGAACAATGACAAAGATGGATATTACGCTTGCAAGTTAGATTATGGAAGCTACAAACGATTTCCAATAAATTATTGTTATCGGTCTTACAGTTTAAGTAGCTTACAAATATTTCAGTTTTTCCAATCCCTCAAACAGTCTTGAAGAATTTAAAGCAGGTAATATGTTATCTGATAAATCGCTATATATAGATTATCAAAATGAAAATGCTTAGTTTTCCAACAGCTCGAATAGAATGTTGAAATGGCCTAATTTGAAATTATGAAATTTTAGGCATGCTCGGTAAATTCTTCTTAAACTGGATAGATAAAATATAAAAGAGTTTTATGCTTATTATTCGAGTTGAAATCTCACAGATTAGATAACATGTTCAAACTTTCAAAAGCCCCATCTTTAATTGCTTCAATTCTATTGGAATGCAAGTACCTAAATCCATTAAGATGAAACCTCTTTCAATATTAGTTTTTAAGGGTAAGGATTCTCAAAATTTCAATATTTTGAAAAGTATACGTTAGCGATACTGATGTATTAGACGCTTTACATTGAATATTCATAGCTAAATAACAGACTATCTTTTGCATGTATTCTTTCTGTCACATATGCTGTATTCTATAATTACTTTTATTTCAAATGTCATGTAGCCAGTATTGAAATGTTTAAGAAATATGAATTAATACTGATTTAATAAATCAAAATGGAATGATTTATTTTAAATATAAGTAATTTACATTTTTTACTTACAAAGATTTCAGGCTTTTTAATCCTTCAAATATTGAAGAACTCAAAGAATTTAATAGATTCCCATTCAAAAGCCTGCATCAGATATTGATAACAATTTAATTGATTATTACGGCTCTTGAAGAGCGGATGAAACCGATTTCCATAGCTAATTTTTTTACTGTTAAAATAAGAGAGTTAACATACTATAGAGATATAGTAATTCCTAAAAAAATACGAAAGTTTTAAATATTCTTAGAATTTTTACTGTATCTTACAGTATCTGCTATCTAGTAAACCTTCTTAAGCTATTTCAGTAACTTTTAATTTATCTTACATAAACGTAGCGTAGAAAGCACAGCAATATTTATATTCCGTTAATCCTGATCATCTCGTCATTATATTTATAACGAAACTTACAGAAATCTTAACTTATTCAAGTTTAGGAATGTTCCATTGGTAATCCTATCTATTTGATTGTTTTGCAAGTACCTAATTTAATGAAATAAATAAGTTAAAAGTTAAAATACGCTTTCTATTTGTAATACGCAATACACTATTTTTACGTATTTCTATGATTCCTAGACAAAGTAAAATAAGTTTAGGACGTGGCATCGTGTCTTTACGAATTTAAATTATTAATAAATCTTGCTTAAAAGACAATAGGTTACATTTTTCATCAATCATTAATATACATTAAAGTATGGATAGTATATATTTAAAGTAGCGGCATAGAGTTTACTTACTTAGAGATCCTAAATACTACGTGCATTCTTTTAAATAGTAATGTAATAATGCTTTATTATATTACCTGCGTTATAACTAGAATTTGAAGTTTTAAATTTCATAGGTTTATAATGATTTTAGCTAATTACAGTAGCTATGTATTAGGAAAGTATGCTGATAGTAAATTATATAGATCTACCGTACTAAGTGTTAAACTTTTATACAGCTTACAGGTATTCCAAATTTAGTAATCCATCAAATATTCTAGAAGAATTCAAGATTTTCAACTGATTTTCAGACAAGGATCTATACAAAGAATTTAAATCAAATGAATGTAATTGTTTAATCTGACATTTCCAATGGCACTTTTAATAAGTGAAATAAAGGAGCTATCATTACTATAAGAAACGAACTTTATTTTCAATTAATGGATTCTAGGGCTAACAATATTTGTATAATTTGGATTGACAATCACTTACAGATATTGCAATTTATGTAAGTTTGAAAATGTTCCTTCTTCGACATTTTTTATTTTGTTTTTAAATAAATACCTGCTCAAGTCAATAAATTTCACTTTTAATCCTGTGACATATGCTATTTTTATTGCTAGTAAAATTAATGGATAAGGTAACTATTTTTTGTATATCGTTAAAATCATTATCTTTGCAAAAGATTTTCTTTGAGGAGCGATTATATAAACTTCCGTTTAGCTTACAGGGAAGTCAAATTTGGATAATTAGACAAGCCGTGTCTAGGTATATGTTGAATACTTGTACCAGTGATATCTCTATTTCAAGTAGCATTGAGAGAGTTGAGATTAATAAAAATAGCGTAACACTATTAAAATTTACGTTATACAAATTTGAAAAGCACTATATGGTTCAATATGGGTAAAATTTAATGCAAAATACATGAATATTCGGCTGTGTAAACCATATACAACATACTTACAAAGTAGTTACTTTATCCATAACTTTTGTTAGGATTGGGAAGGTGGTCATGAGCGGATTTTGGCAATTTATGACAGAGTCAATCGGACAGGAACAACTTTGAGGACATGGTGAAACTGCTGCAAATTTACGGCATAAAATATACATTTATTTATATATATTATATATGTAAATTTAAGAATGCCTTCAATGTATGTAAAATATTGGTTATTTTCAAAGTTATCTGCTATCAAATGATATAAAAGTACATTCAAATACACAGTCAGTCTCTTACGAATATAGTAGATTGAAAATTCACAGACAAATAATAGCAAAATATTTAGTCAGTGTTGGTCGCTTTATAAATTGTTGTATTAATGGCAATTTTGGCTAATTATGATTACAATGCGGATTCAAAATACAGAAATTTAAAGCAAGCTTTATTGTTAGGTGTTGATTAGCTTGAAATGATTAATAAAGTAGTTAAAGATACGTTACGAGCTAGAAATAGCCCTGACTTACAAAAAGGATTGAGAGAGTAATTTCTATCCTACACTACTCTTATTTGAAATACCAATCAATTGGTACTCCAAAGCAGATAGAGTTTAACTCAGCGAGACCTTCGAAACCTGTTCAAAAATATTAATCTAATATAGTATCGGTAAACCCACCGCTTATATAGGTTTCGCTAACTACAACAGGTTTAAGTACTGAAGTCATCTCATCTATTAGAAGTTAACCAAATTAATACTCTAAAGAGATTCTATCAGTACAGATTAGATACAATCTAATCCTTTTAAATTTACTGTATCGGTATTATAATAATAATCAATACTTAATAATAGTTTAACAGATACTGTTTACGGAGCTCGCTCCAAGTGTTGTGATAATTGGGAATAATAATGACGTCTTACTGTGACAGTGTTAGATACTTATTAGAGTAGAAATATATATGTTAAGATAATTTTGTTAGCTTATCCTTATTTAGTTAACTTCTAATTTGGATATACGGTATTTTAATGTAGCACTGGCTTTATATGACAGTAGCATATATACATATACTGAAATTAATAGTTATATTATGGAATGCGAGTTATTTACTTACAGTTCGAATCATTGTGATTGTAACTTACTTATGGTAGATTGTAAATTATCGTGGAAATGTCTCGCGATAGGACATATCGTAGTCAGACTATTCTGTGTTTAGTCATCAGATTTCTATGTTCGTAAATACTGTTATTTTCGAGCAATAGCTAAAATTAATGTCTAATTCAGTGAATGATTCCAAAGTTAATCGTACTAACCATGACTCGTAAATTATTGAGGGAGAGTATATAAACGCAATGTATCGTATTATAAAATTAATTTTTAAACTTGGTGTTTAACGTAAAATACGATGCATCTAAGTCTTTGTGTAGTCTGCTAGTAGAGCGAAAGTTTTCTAATAGTACAGATATTATTCCTTAACACATAGTTCAAGGGATTGACTTATTGATCGTATGTTAGGTTATCTTCTTGCAAAGCTGTTTTGTGACACTTACGTCATTGTTAGACTGATAATATGCTAAGCTAAGAAAATTATAAATGGTTAATCGATAACTAGAGCATGCATATAGCATGTTAGCAATAACTAAGATGGCGGAGGCCAAATATTTATTTGTGCCACCTTGGAGAAGTAATAAGTAGCTGATGTGATAAATACGATTAATTAACGAGCTTTACTACGGTAAAATAACATCTTAATGCGCTGTTAGTATTAATGTTGTAAGATTTATAAGATTATAGTAATTATATTACATTGGATATAAACTAGCCTTAGCACCTGTATGTACGGCGTAAAGTCATAAAACTATATAAAGGGCTAGATATCTTACTTAAAAGAAAGTCTCCTTTAAGTTGTAGTTAGAAATACTGTGCTATTCCTATTTTCTGGTTTAACAAAGGCCTTAACTGTAAACGCTATTGTTTATCTCTTACTAGCGGTGGATATTGGAATAAGTTAGTTTCTACTACTGCAGCACTTTGAGATTGAAACTGAGATCAAGTTGGAGTGGATAATATAGTTTTGGTCAGCTCTCGAAGGCTAACTAGTGATAGATACATATTAAGCTATCATAATAAGACATTTCCCCTAAACTTGGGAATTATACTTTGAACCTTAACAACCTTGGAGATGATAGATACAATAAGGCTTAACTGGTTGGCAATGGCTAATTTAATTTATCTAATTCTAAATTAAGGATATCAACTGTTAACTACTAAAGTTGCAACTAAGGAGACCGTAAAATATTTCTGAGATATAAACATATATAAAACGTAACATAGAAATAAAGTACACGTCATGAAGATTACTTTCGTGACAAGATAATCACTGGTAAATTGTAATAGAGTATTTAAGCTGTTACTATGTCTGTAATAAGTTGTAGCTGCCAGCCGTATAAAATTACTTTTTTGAACTACATACTAATTTTGTCTTTATTATCAGAATACTGTAAAGGAAATCTTGAATATGATTTGGATAGTTATATGGAATTGTTTACAAAAAGCCTATAAATTGATATTTAATGTATCTTAGCTGTTTTTATGTTCTTATAAAGAAACAAAGAGAATTCTTCCCTGATCGGTGGAAAAGTAATAGACGATACTTCTAAGCTACACGCGATGCTGATCTATTTTGTGTCGGTTTGAAATTTGCTCAAATTTAATAACTCAAATTTTGAGTCAGCGGATTCTGAACTTAAGAGAATACAAAATCTACTTAATATAATAATATAGGGTAGAAGTGAAGGTTGCATTTATACTGACTTGTATACTAAAATTAATATGATTAGCACAATTTCGAATTACTGCAAACTTTCGTATACATTTATTTCGATTACTTTATCTTATTTAATAAATTATAGAACATAGGTCTTGAAATGTGGTCTGAACTTTTTTATAGCGGCTAAGATAAGTATGCCTTCTATGATACATTGGATATTATAAAGGTAGAGAAATAATGACACAAAACTAACGAAATGATGGCATTGAAGATACCGTTTGTTGGCATCTCTGTTGCGCTGGTAAGCAATTTAATCTTTCAGATATTTATATCGAAATTTTGACAATCTGGTAAATATACTATAGTGCTCGTATTTTATCTACATTTCATTTAAAAAACATAAAGTAAGATAATCTGAATTATACGTGCCAATAATCTATGATGTATTTAATTCTACAACGATAAATTTTATATATGAAAGCAAAATATGGTCGGACCTAATCTGCAGCTTTGCTCTGTAATTTGGTATCGATACTTTATATTTCGAAGACTAGAATGAGAAAATTTTTCGCTTTTCTGTCAATGTAGTGTATTTGGGATTGTACTGTAACTGTAAGCTACCCTTAAATATAGATATTTTGTTTTGCTCTTAAATATAGACAAATTCACAAACTGTTTGCTCTACATTCAAATATAGCTTGTTGCATTTGGCGATTACAGTCCTCACAATTTTCTACGATCATCCGCTATTCTGTAACCTGTTATGGAATTTCTTATATCTAGTTCTACAATCCTGTTCTATGCAAGTACTCTAACTCAATAGATATAAATGCTGGCATTTTCTACCCTAGAACTATTTGTGCCTTAGTATTTTACGCGCTGCTTCACGACAGCTTGTATGTTGATCTACGCTAGCTCTCACACTGTACCTTAATTTCTATCTTTACAATAAAGTAGTCTCTTATCTTAAACTCCTTGTACAATACTCTGTATGGTGACTAAACACGCATCATCCGACGCATCGAACCCTCCATTGCAGTCACTGCAGCACTTATTTTGAGCTTGATTATGAATGGAAATATTGAGCCTAAAAAGTTCTTACCTAAAACTTGTAGCTTGCAGCTTGAGAAAATGATTAGCCAGATTAACGTATTAAGAAGTTTCATTTTGCCTTGCTAACACAAATTAGTTTTAAAATAAGATTACTGGAAAACGAATCTGTGATCTTGTCTCTGAACTAGGTATTTGGGCATCAAGTCCGATTAAGAAATTCTTGGAAATACTTGTTCCTAATTCTACGCGCTTACCACAACAAGTACGCCTTTAATTCGTGTTAAAAACTAAACATAAGAACTAACTTTATCACACTATATATTGGTTTCGCATACGTTTCTATAGTAGTTAAAATTTATAATTAGCAACACCAGCCTTCAATTAAATCAATTTAGCTATTGCAATTTATCATTCAAATTCACTAGTCAAAGCACAGATATGTAATGCCTAACTTAATTTAGACAGTTAGTTTGTGTTACGTTCATTTATGAAATATTTTCATAATAACATATACCGTATAGTCTACTTTTAAGCTATTTAAAATTGTAAAATTTGGCTGGAAGTCGATTAATATTAGCTACCATATACTTTTAAAATTAATCATTAATTTTAGAATTATCAAAATTTACCTAAATTAAATATTACTATAATATCTAATGAGGAGGCATACTTGAATTGCTGTGGCATCTGCCAATCTGTATTGAATGTTACACCTTTCAAATTTAATCAAAAAAAATAATTTCATTATTCAAAGAAAATGCAATAGTTCATCTATTCATAAGTAGAAACTCTTTCTCACTTTATTTGCTTCAATATGATGAAGACGTTAAGAAACTATTAAATGCTTAATAGCAAGACATAGTTACGAAATTTTGGCAGTAAAATTTGTAAAAATTACTTCATGTACTTAATGTAAGAGAAGATTTCCTAGATTCTTTTCCACAATGCATAAAATTGTTCATGAATAAAAATTGTTTACAATACAATTTGACCGATCTGATCGCACTGACCATATTTTTTATATTGTTCAGTAATAATAATATTAAGTGACTGACGTTAGACTTTAAGCCGAAAACTGAATTTATAGCAGTGTAATAGGCCGAATCCATTTAATTGATATTTTAAATCAAATTAAATAAAGTAAAACAACATATGATGCCATGCAAAGAATTGCAAAAAGGCTTTATTAGGAAGGGGATACTTTGTTTTAGAATGTAATGGCGTTGGCCATGGCAGTTACGGTAGAACAGCTTGTAAATAGTCGTGAAGTAATACGAGAAAGTACTAGCATGAAATTTAACATTCAAAGAAAAGCGAAGCAGAAATTAGTAGCATTTATAGTGCAGATAACTAATGCAGAGCACAATATTTTAGGATTTGATACAATATCCATAATAATAAAGTTGAATAAGTAAAAGTAAATGGTCTTAGAAACTAGTGAAGACTGTGTCATAAGTGTGATTGTGAAACACACGCAGTGATAAATTGGCTTTCATAACGACTTGAAGCTTGTAATCACTTGTCAAATTGTAATTTTATAGCAGTTAACGCCTACTTTGCAATAAAATCTTGACTCTAAGATATCATTTATTTCGTTTCTATCAACTTATATTATTGCCACGAGTACTCTTCTGAAAAAGGATAAAGTAAAGTATTCTGCTCTTCTAAGTTGTTACTATCAACTCCTATTCTAGGTTCGACCTAGAATTACCCTACTTGAATGCAGTCACATAGAAAAATTTCCCTATATCGAGCTACTTTTGCTTTATTCCAAATAATACGACCAACGCTATTTACTCGTGAAAAGTGTAAAATTAGTTACTGAACAGCAACGTTCGTGATTAAGAGTCAAAAACGAAAGTTTAGTGTGCCGAAGCTAAGTAAGCAAAAATCTACTGCGACACAAATAATTAATCAATCAATGCTACTAGTAATTGATGGAATATTAGTGGTGTAACAACGACTATCACGGTACGAACTGGAGAATTAAATGACTATATTTTGCGAATTAAAATTTATATATGGTAATTACAATTAGCTACTTTGAGTAAAAATCACTTAAGTTAAAGTGTATTACGGTAAAACATAGGCTTTACTGTAGTACAATCCTTACTGAATGGATGGATATCGTGCAAGAGCTCTTGCAACTGTAACTATGGCTAATACTATGCCGAAAGGTATTTAAGCTCGGCAGATCACTAAATAAAATAAGTTCTAGTTTTGTAACATAGAAGCAAGGCGTCGAAGTTTTCATGAGTTTTCCAGGGAAATTGAATCCCGAAATTTTTAAAACTTAGGGATTTATTTGCGTAAACCTTATCATAAGGCTGGTTTGTGACAACTACATACTGATCATTTTATTATACTACTATTAGAATCCATGCTCATTATATTTCGCGTACGGTATGTACTTGTACTTTTTCATTATCACTGGGATATTGCTTTGTTGTATGCCTAAGTATGAAACAAATTTGTATACTGTTTTAAGTAAATGGAGGTTTTAAACGATATCAAAGCTTTTATGAAAGGATTTGTCTCTGTGGTGAGATGAGTTCCGAAAGCGTTGCAGGAATTGTGATTGAAGCTATCATAGTAGTTGCTGCGCTTGCAGGAACGGTAGTTAAGCAATTTTAGATAGTTACTCAGTAAAAGGCATTTAGTATTCGTTATTAATAGTAGCGAAGCAAACTAAATATAAAAAACGTCAGATTAGAATAGCAGGTAAAGCTTTATTAGGTTAAATTTCGTACAAAGTACATATATTATCTAGAATAAAATGTACGTATAATGCATATTTATTTATTATGGTGTGATAAAGTGTCTTCTCAAAATTACAAAAGAACTACAGTTTCTTGTAAGCTTCACTCCATTACATAGATTATTGCAATAGTAATGTGAGTTGTGTTTAAGTGTATTCGCAATGTGAAGTAAAGCACAATGTGGCTGTCACGACTGACATTGAAACACAATCATACTAAATAAGCCATACAGATATCAGTAGCCGATATTTTATGCTGACTAACCACTCAAAGTAAGTACAGACGGCTGTAAGCATTAGAATTATAAAAAACATTATTATCATTCGTGATGCGATATTATCGAAATAATGAACGTTAAGGAATAGTTGGAATGGTTGATATTCGGTATTTACTTCCCAAAATATGCCGAGATTTACTTTATTTTTATTGCTGCAGTGCGATTGATCAAGGAGTGCTAAAATATAATTGCAATTCTTCGCAAAAATCAAGTGTCTTTAAGCCATTATGAAAACGAATCAATGTCATTGTAAACATTTAGTCTTAAATAGTTTGCTTCAAACTGTTGATGATGAATATGTTTATAATAAGCCTATTCAAAGCTTTGGTTACTGTCAATTGATTGACTATTTGTATTCTCTTCATTGCTAAGAAATTTGTGCCCATTAATTTCAGATCCTGCTGTATTCGAACCCTCGCTGCTATTAAACGCAAGATTTGTGACACCTTCAGTATCTCTAACATCATCATTACAAGTATTTATATCACCACTATGACGTAAAAGATCGTCTTCATCATTAATTAATTGGTTCTCACAATTTCTATCGATTTGACTATCCACATTATTAATTGTAGCTACTGCTTCGTCGGATATATCTGAAGGTGCGATATGACTTCGCTTAGGAGAATCAGTGCAAAGACAATCAAAATCGGATTCAATTATATTATTTTCATTAAGATCAGCTTTTTCACTTACTGTTTGCTTTAATGTAGAATTATCGTCGTCATTGTATATGTACGAATAAGTGTTAATAGCTTTCAGACCTGTAGTATTCCGGTTTTCTTGAATAAGCGTATTTGCTTGAGTAACATTTCTGCCTGTCCTACCGCGCTTTGCAAAGGTACCACTGCTCACAAATGTACTCATATCAGTACCTTGACCTAGTATAGATTGTACCGATTTTCTTTTCGATCTCTTTGTAACTAATCGATTGAAGCAAGCTGTCCCAGTAGCTGTATAAATGTATGGATTAATCGCTGAATTTAGTGGTATAGCTAAAATGACTGCAAATTGTAATGTAAATATATTTAATCTCCCTTGAATTATAGCCATCGCAGAAATAACATATACTGGTAACCATGCAATTAAATCTGTAATTAAAATTAATGATAAACGAATTGCAATAGCAAAATTGCGAGATTGAGCACTGCTACGAACTGATCGTTGCGTTTTACGTACTGAAACTAGTAACATCGCGTAAACTATAAGTGTGGTAGTCCAACTAAAAAGCTGTATTATAACAAAAGTAAATGTCCAGGCCGAAAAGAATGTTTCGCTTAGATTACTCGGAGAGCAAATAGAACTGAATTCATGTAATCGCCTATCTCCAATTTGATTAATACTCATTATAATTGGTATACCAACAAAGGTGCATGTCAATAACCATCCGACTATTAATGCTATTTTGGTTCGTTTATATCTTTCATCTGATGATGCAAATGGATTAGCAGTAATTGCATATCGATCGATGCTGATAAATAACATCATAATGACCGACATCAAACTGGACGTAGATATTAAGAATGATGCAATAAAACATGCTGGACTACTGAGCCATTCTTCAGCATGTTGAGCGTAACGATCTCGATAAATTACGTCGGCAGCACCAATAATAAACAAATATAATGACATTAAAAAATCTGATAGGGCTAAATTGCTGAAGACGAGTTCTGTAGCTTTACTCATCCTTTGATTGCCGTTGGTACGGTGTACTGCAATAACAAGTATGTTTCCTATAAAAGCTGCAATACCCATTATCCAAACAGCTAAACGTAAAGATATGTGAGCAAGAATATTTTCACAGCTTGAGGCTGAATCTAAATCCGGAGTTGGTGAGCATGTAGTAATTTTGGCGGGAACTATACAGCATAAATAAGCACGTGTGGAGGCTCTAATTGAAATTTTTTAACCAAAACAGAATATTTAAGAATTTATTATTTAAGAAGTATTCAAGAAGTTTATTATTAGAATAATCTGAAGGAAGCTATATCTGAAAGCAACTATTTATGTTATTGTCACAAAATAGCTTTGCAACAAGATACCGTAATGTACCGTCAATAAGTTAATTTCTTGAACCACGTATCAAGGAACGATATCTGCACTATCAGAAACACTTTTGCTCTACTAGCAGACTACACAAAGACTTAGACGCCTGGTACTTTACGTTAAACACTAAGTTTAAGAATCCACTTTATTACACGATATACTGTATCTATATACTCTTCCTCAATAGTTCATGAGTCATAGTTAGTACGATTAACTTTGGAGTCATTCACTAAATTAGATATTAATTTTAGCTACTGCTCCCTTCATGCCGACAACAGTATTTATGAACATAGAAATCTGATGACTAATACAGAATAGTCAGATTACGATATGTCCTATCACGGAATATTTCCACGATAATTTACAATCTATCATAAGTAAGTTACAATCACAATGATTCGAACTGTAAGTATATGATTTGCATTCACAAATAGAACTATTAATTTCAGTATGTGTATATGTGTCACTATCACAAAGAGTCAGTGGTATATTAAAACACAGTATATCCAAATTAGAAGTTAACTACGTAAGGATAGGCTAACAGAATTATCCTAACATAGATATTTCTACTCTATTACAATATATAACGCTGTCACAGTCATACAATAATTGTAATTTCTAAAGACGTTATTCGAATACGAGAGATTCAGTCTGATGGCGGTGTAAATTATGACAATTACTAACTAAAATTAGGTAATGTTTAATTTTGTAATGAAGATCAAAAATTATGGAATGAGGTTGATTTCTAAATTTATGTACATCAGTGCGAGATTCTAGAAAGTCAAGTCAATATTTCTGCAATTTGGAAATTTCAAGGCTTAATTTGCACCGTAATGCATAAAATGATTATATCAGTAGATGCTTGATGGGAGTAATAAATTCTAATTTCTCGAGTAGAATTCTTATCTTATTTATTTTTAAAGATAGATTAAGCCAAAAAGCACTTCTACTTACACAGTTTTTAAGGTCGCTGATCCATAAAATGAGATGTCACTTAAGAGTGCTAAAGGATTTGACCTAAATGATCTGATAGCAAAAAATACCATCTTAAGTTAACCATTAAGTTACAATTGTGTATTGGTGTACAAAAATTACATTCTCCTTCATATTAAATAATAAGAAATTATTATTTAACTTTACTGCAACCGAAAAAAATTTGATAAATACAGATTATAAATAAAGTAGAAAATTTTATACTTACATCAGTTGCAATTTGAAAAGTGTCCCGAAACACCTATTTGTCAAAATTCTTACTTTATTAAAATCTAAATATCTAAGAAGATGCATGAGTATATTTAGGATTTAATCGTGAGTAATGATAGTGAGTACAAATTATTATAACTTTCATTATTACAATTCTAGGAGATTTGGCGCAATTCCTAGTACGTTAGACCTTCCACAAATGTTAGAAAGTTTATTTTGATTCAAGTTCCTGCACAGATTTCGAATTAAATTGGAAATTATAAAATCTATGCTTTTAATTTATTTCAACAATATATACTAATAAAGTCTTAATATTAAATCCAATTCTTACAATAGCTTCAGTGCACTAAATTGAACGTTATGACGATTGGTAATTGTAGTGATTAAATTGTTAGCCAAATTCCTAAAGCGAAACTATTTCTTAGTATCGAAATATATAATATTCATATAGAGTAAGTTAGCATAGTAAATAATAAATATTAATTCAATATCAAAGTGATAAACATGCTAATGCGATATTTTAACTTACAGTTCTTCTAAATTTCTTTCACTATCTCGAAATATGACTGAGGCATCGATATGTTTTATCGCATTATTGGTGAGATTTCTGTTATGCAGTACAAGTAAATCAGCTTTAGAATGCTCTTAAATCGTAATTCTAATGTTTTACTTTCAATGCACTGTTACACTTTTGCAATATCGCATCACAACTAAGAAGCACTAACTTTTATCATAACGATTTTGAGGACATAACTAAAAGAGAGAAATTAAAATCGCGACTCGTGCTGAATTAAATTAAAAGGGTTGAGCCTATGTAATGTCGTCAAGCGCATATATTTCAAATTAAATGAGATAGATGGAAAAATGGTAGCTATTTTTCTCTTCCACAATTGCTTCTGTTTGACTGTATCATCATGTGCCCTTTAACTTGTTAGTCCTTGTAAACCTTAAAGTTAGCACTAATACGACTTAATACCACTTTTATACTTATTTGCATATGATATATAAATAATAAATTTAAAGTTTATGATGCAAAGTTCAATTAAAAATGTTAAAGTATGCTGATAGGTGGCCGTATCATTATCAGCTATTGTCTGTTAGAACATTTCATTATGCTACATCTACTTAATAATTATTGGATTGCTGTTAATCTAGCCATGCACTTATTTATTTATTCCGTCTATCTTTCCAATAAAACTATCAGTAAATGATATTAGTTAATTATACCTTGTTTCTTTGATTAGGTTTAAATTAAAGATTAATTTAGATTTGGTATTATCTAGGATGACTTACAAGACTTTCAAAAATCCTCTTAGGGCTACAAATGCATTTGATGGAATTTCTGTTAACCTGCTATAGCTCAAATCACTATTCCATTAAACAATGCGATAAATGTGAGTTGATAACAGTAAGAATATGTTTTTAACGATTAATAAATTACTATTGTTCGGTGTCTTTAAATGCCAATTAATATTCATAATCGATCAAAGCAGATTTAGGCAAGCTAAGTAACTTACATGGAATAAATAAAACATTTAGCTAAAGGATCTAAGTAGGGCGGCAAGCAGTAATTAGTGATATAAAACCCTTTTATAATTTGTTTGATAGCAGATATCGATAATTTGTTATGACCAATAGACCTAAAAATTTAATTTAATTTAAAATAAGCAATTGATTTATTTCAAGCTGAACAATGAACACCAGCATGTAATAAAGTCATTTTATATGAATTAAGTGATTTACACTTTATTATTAGGCTAAATATGATTATACGTGTAGGATATAATTACAGATAAATTGATAGTACTTGTTAAATTCATTCATTTATAGTCGTAAGTATACTATACGAGTTTCAGTATAATTTAAATAGAACTTGTAGGTTGCATTATAGCATGATTATACTACCAAAGAATGTTATACTAGCAAGTAACTTTTGTTGTTTCCATGAGAATAACTTGAATTTACTAGATAATCACATTATACATTTTGACCGTTCATTATAAGAGTATAGACGGCATTTAATAGGGTTAATATTTGATTTAGACAATTGTGAATATATATCGCCTTTTCTTATTTAGCAAGTAGAAGTGTAACTAGCTAGGAATATAAATTTACTAAAATTTAGTGATATACATACAATGCTATTAATTTTAAATAAGTCTTTTAAGAAACTATCATCTGGATTGATATTAGAGTAAACTAAGGACTAAAAGAAAAGAGCATTCAATAGTGCTTGCGATATTGAACTATGCTACTTTCTTTATAGCACTGTCGCGAACTAATCTGCAGACAAAGGATAAAGCAAAGTATTCTGCTCTTCTAACTTGCTGCTGTCAACTACTATGCAAACTTCAGCCTAGATCTTCCCTTCTAGACTCCTGTCACACAGCTAAACTTGATAACGTCGAGCTGCTATTACTTTATTTTAACTAATTTGAGCAAGGCGGTGCACTAGTAAAAGACTACTGGAATCGACTACTAACGAACAATATTAGCAATCATCAACCAAAATCGCAAGAATTTAGTCGATCTAACTTATATAGATAGAACTAAAGGAAAAAAACACCATTCTTTGTTCAATCATAGATAAGAGAAAGGTAAGTAGTCTCAAATTCCGTTAATAGACTCGCTACACAATTCATGACGACTAAACATATCAATGGGTGTAGCCGGTATGGAAAATATGTAAATGACTCATTAATGTAACATAATAGGAATGCCAGCTATTCGGCTTACATTACAAGGCTAAAAAAGTGACATATGGAATAACATAACTTTATACTATTATAAAACTCTAGCCAAGTGTCACGGTACGAACTACCGTGAAGAAATAGATATCTAAATTTGGTTAATATAATATAGTGATATTATATTATAACTAGTTACTTACAATAGGAATTACTCTAATTATAAATGTGTTACAGTAAATTTATTGCTGTGCTGTAATGTGTGCTGAAATGATTCTGTGAATGGACATATTGTAGTCCGACGGTGAAAAACTAGTTAGTAGATGTTCTCACCCAGGTATTTTTATAAGATGACTTGTGAATGTTAGCTGCTGTAGAAGGGTATATAAGCCCGTCAGATAGTTGAATAAAGCAATTCTCAATTGTATAGTTGTTTTAACGTAGAATCAAAGGCGTCTAAATTCTTGTGAGGTAGTTAAGGGATACTGAATCCCGGAGACTATAGTAATTTAGAGATTTGTTTTACGTTATCCTTGTCACGAAGCTGGTTTGTGACACCAAGTCATGCACGAAAGAACAAATCATATAGAATCAACAATAAGTATAGAAATCTATCAAGACACAAATGCTTAATTTATACTGTATCATTTACGCTGTATTTGCACCGTGACAAGCTCTGAAGTCAAATGTAGTTATTTAGGAAAGCTGAAAAAAGATGAAAGACCCCTTTTCAATTGCATAACTACTATGCTAATGTATTTACCATTAAATTTAATAATCAATAAGAACTTGTAAAGGTTTCATATTGACCGTAAATAGCAAGTTATAGTTTGAATGATGTTGAAGCATTTAGATTTAAATAATATTTCTCAATATTATTATCCGATTTAA